GAACATGGTTGTTGTTCAATAATAAAATTATTCCTCAAAAATACAACTTGCCTAATAATTCTGCACTCCTGTAAAATAATTTAAAGTAGTAATGAAACTCTACGCGTTTTAAGGTTATTTTACGGCATGGAGCCTCACTAAAAACTGTCATGCATACAAAACTGCCGTTTGCTGCAGTTTTCTTAAGTAGCTATACCCTGGTCTAAGGCATAGTTTGTGGGCTGGCCCTTGATGGATCTCAGAACTGGGCAGAGCGGCAGCCTGCAGCCAGTTAGAAGCTAATCGGTTGGATGACCTGGTGCAGTGTCTAAGAATAATTCAGAATGAATAATTACAGATTTTAATATAATACACTGGTTTTAGGGTGGACCCTTTAGTTATTAAATCAAAGGCAGGGGATTAGTTGTGTTGACCAAATCTTTTCAAAGTAAATTAAAGAACTATTTGTGGCAAAGCTGATAAGAGGAGAATATGTCCAATATTGTTGCAGTCGCTCACACACACACACACACGCACACACACACACACAACACACACACACACACACACACACACACACACACACACACACACACGTAACTAAAGCCACAAAGAAATTATGCTTTCAAAAAAAATTGTTGGTAAGATACAAAAGACAAAAACAGCTCTGTATCACCTGTTTGCATGTTTTCTGACCGTCTGCACTGAGACAGAAGCAGCTAGTGTCGATGTATTAGCCTTCCCCGTCACAAACGCTAGCTCACAAATTTAATTATTCGGCTGCTCCATGGCCTGTTTCCTGTCACGCACGCTGCTGTTTTGGCTGCAGCTCATTATTATTGTAAAAATATGCCACTTTGACCGTAGGCCTGCGGATATATTGCGAAAGACACTTTGTTTTCTAGAGCTCTCATAAACATAGCTTTTGTTCATGTATAGAATCGATCAGCAGTGAGCATGATTGCAGGTGTTAGGGTAAATGACGCAAAAATGCCACTGAAAGTGGTTATATGGAAAAGGACTAATATACAAGGACTGCTGATTCAGCGTGGTCCTTGTGTAAGAGTACCAAACAATCAGGATTTAACACCATAACACACCCACACATATCATTTTTGTGCTTAACATGCATGGACAGAAGAAGGCTATTATTTAATGCACCATAGTAAACTGCTGTATTGATATTCTATGTTAAAATACGAAGAAAACTATCACACCCTATTATTAAGACAGACAAATATCTGACTTTAATTACAGTTTTGTATTTCAACAAGCTAATTAAATATAGATATTTGCCAAGGCAACAATTTTAGCTGCACCCTTTACCCCAGTGGCTTTAACCCTTTTTATAAGGTCAGCATGCACAAGGTTTGGGTGCTCTGTGATCATATCGCAAGGTGTCACATTAAGGTCTGTGAGCAAGATTAGCCAGAAATCACCGTGCTGAATCTTATGATTCAGAAACGTGAAGCATAGACAAAGAAAGTGCGTATCACATGTTGGCATGGCTCACTCGCTTCATACCTGTCATCAAGGTAGCCACCCATCATGTCATGAGACACCAAGGTCCGTCGCAGACAGCGGTCCAGAGGAGGCTCTCTAGGTGCCAAGGGGACAACTGCCACACTGAAGGGGTTTGCCTTACTTCTTGTCCACGACAACAGATCCTCCATTGATTCAAGACCGCAGGTGATTGGTTCAGTGGTGTCAGCATCATAATGTTTCTCTTGAAGACAACAAGAAACAGCATGTACAAGAATGTACAAGACACCAGCTTTAACTCAGATATTTTTAGACTTGTAACCTTACTAGGTAGCGGTGACGCTGTATACGTGACGACTTCACAAGTAACTGAGTCCGTGGGCTGATCCAAACAAGATTCCAACCTGATAAAGGATAAGAAACCAGGAAAAGGGTTTTTTTTAATTGGTTTTTAAACTAATCTGATGTGACAGTATTTCCGAAAAAGGTTCCCAGACATCAAAAATTTTTCTGACAATATTGCAATTAATCGGTTCCCAGACAGAGAAAATTCCCTTAACATAAAAAAGTTGCTCTGGAAGAGTCCTGGAAGAGTCCAGCACCCACCGGAAATTAGTCCGAATTGTTGCCGGTGTTGTGCCAGAAAGTGATCGCCTACCAAAACCTGATTTCCAGTGCTTCCTGGTTTTTATGTGTAATCTCTTTGTGTATGTTGGTAAATAGACTTCAGTGAACAGGGTTTACAAAGGGGTTATATACAAAATGTAAAAATTACATGTTTTTCAAGTATCTTTATAACTCTGTGTTATTGTACTTACATTATAACCAATCCGGTCCTTTTTGTCCACTTAAAATATGTTTACAGAACGGTTGTTATATTTGTTGCAATTGTTCTGTCCTCTTGGCCAGATTGCTCTTAAAAAACACATTTTTAACTGGATAAATAAAGGATATATAAAAGTCACTGCCAAAAACTGATTACGGCTTCTACCTTGTTACAAGAATGCTGTTTGTGGTTCAAGATGACCTGATATCATTCATACATACATATATTTGACATATGTCTCACATATTATAGACCAAAAAGTTATTTATAGCGGTTTAAATACGAGCAACCAGTTTTCGGCAAATACCGGAAATCAGTTTTTGGCAGACGATCATTTCTTGGCATAACACCGGTAATGTGGACAAAGCTCCCGTAACAAGGACTGAATGGCTAATAACAATGGACCGGACACCCCATACTCCCGAAGCATCCCCCATGGGACACTCCAATGCCTTTTCCACACACTCTCAAATATCATTGAGGGGATAAAGAGCTGGTTCAGTGGTCTGCGACCAGGACAAAAACCACCTTGTTCCTCCTGTATCTGTGGTTCAACTAACAAACACTCTCCCTTTCAAACAAACAAACTGTGGTTTATGAAAAAGTCCAAAAACAAAACACAGCTCGGGATCAGTTTAGACAGGTCGTTCCTCCCAGTCACGCTGCTCGATGTCTCCTTGTCGTTGCCCACTCAGTGACTTCAATAAGCCTGGTTACTCTGAACTGTTTGATGCATAAGCACAAACAGTCAGGAATCGTTCCCTGACCAGAAGGTGCAGGGAAGCAACCTTCTCATCCACCGACGAGAACCCCAATGTATCTGGCATGATCCCCATAAATGATCATTCCCTTCCTGCTTCCAGTACTGTGTCCCGTAGTTTTCTCCTTTCTCTTCTCCTAGGTGAAGACGGAGCTTACTTGACAAGACAGAAGATCTTGACCGGAAGTTCTCTAACATAACTTTTTTTGGCAACGTGATCGATCATTTCGTATCCTCTCTTTGAGATTTAAAAATCTGTTTTACAAAAGACACCTGACAAATATCTCATAGCATTTCAATAAAGACATTTCAAGTGGCAAAAAGGTGATTAATTATAATATCAAACGCAGAGCAGGAAGAATAGCAGACTGTTAAAGATACTTGCAAAGCTGTTCTTTGTTTTATATTTAACGCCATAGGTTATGTTGACTACAGCCTATTTACCAAAATAAATAAAGATATAAGGCATAAAAAAAAGAAATACGTATATCGGGAACTTTTAGGCCTAATTTTCACACAGCAGGCACAAGGGCTCTCCTGACTAAATGTTGTACCTCTTTCCTGCGACACCATCACTTTCCTCTCCGTTCTTTCTTTTCCTTCGTAAAGGAAGCTGGATTTCCTCACCACTCGATGCCATTTCCCTGGATTTCGTGCAGAGAGTAATGAAGTGTCAAGTTATCTGAAGACATGGAAACTGAAACGGCTTTTCAACCAGTGAGGACGTCGTTCTCTCTCTCATTCTCTCTCAAGTTAATAGGCGGCTGCAGACAGCTGAAAGGTGCACACCACCACCTACTGTACAGTGTGTACAACATCATGTTATTAACAAACTAAAGCAGCTCCCAACCAGCTGTGTTTCTCTCAAATAACAAAAATTGCTTTCCTAGTTCTACTTACACCTTCAGCCCCGCCCATCTCTTCCCCAAATACCCTTCAATGACCGTTCCCTTCCCTGCTTCCTGTTTCCCCTTTCTCGTGTATTTCACATTTTTGAAATATTTTTTCCTTTCTTATCCTCATACTATCTTTTCTGCCATAGTTCCATCCTTATCCTATTGATAACTGCCCTTCCTTCACATTTTCCAAGTGGAATGGGTATTGTTATTTCTTTTAGCAAAGCACCTTTTGGTAATTTATCGGCATTTTCATTTCCATTCCAATTTCACAAACTAAAACGACAAAGCTGGACAACGTGGGAGCTGTTTAATATAATGTGATAAAAAAAAATCTGGTTTGTACTTTTTGATGTCACTATGCTCGATATACGAAACCTATAGGCGTCAAAATCCAGTTGATAACACTCAATTTAAGCCACTGTTAATTACCAAACAGATATAAAAGAATTGATGATCTAATTTATTTTATTTTTTTAAACAATTTTTAAGAAACGGGTTAGATTAAACATTAAACTCAGTGCCCAATCAGTAACATTTTGTATTAACGGTTTTATTTTAACATAAATATCTATTTAGGACTTCTTCTTCTTTTTTTTTTTTTTTACCATGTCATACAGCAAAAGACTGTATTTGTTTAATTTGTTTATGAGAAGGTGGACAGTGGCCAGCTGGACAAAAGAGTACATCTTTTGTTTATGTGCAGGACCAGAGTCTTTCGCTTTGTAAAGATTAGTCTCTAACGGAAAATACAGGTGCAACAACACAGAGCCCCGGAGAAGGTAAAAATGGCGGCTACGGATCAGGCGAAACCTCACACTCTTGTCCTGTGTGAATGATTTTCATTTATTTTTCATTACACTGTATTTCCCGGTTATTTAAAAGCAAACGTTTTTAAATTTAGCTCTTGTAACAGTTCAAAGTGAAGAAACTACCAAGGCTGGAGATGTGGTTGGGTCCGTTATCGTTAGTGGTATCTGTTGGGAACTCTACAGCAATAGGCTCTCTGATTAGCGTCCTCCCCCACTTCACCCTGCAGGGAAGTGATGTCAGACACATTCAGAGAAGTGCTGAACAGGGTCTTCACAGAGAGCAGACAAGGCAGCCAGAGGAAGAGGACCAGAGCAGAATCGTAAAAGTAACCTGCTCAAAATCCGCCTTCATCCGTGGAGAATTAAAGTGTATCGGCACAGAAAACACCAGGAGCAGAAAGTACAACGATTAACCTTTCCAGTGAACCTCATATTGTCACATTATGAAGTTAGGAATACTTTAAAACAAGAGGCGAAAGATTGTGAGTATCGACCTCATCCGGCGACAGCATAGAGAAGAGTCAGTCCTTCGCCTGAATAGCTCGTTTGCGTTGGATGCTTTTGGCTGTGGTGCTTTTAAATAAGGCTGAGCTCTAAACCAGGACGTTTTTGGCTGTTTCCGAGCTAGCGAGCGTGCTTGCTAGCCGACTGAAGCTTGCTTACCATGGAGTTGAGAGTGGGTAACCGATACAGACTGGGGAGGAAAATTGGAAGTGGCTCTTTTGGAGACATCTACCTAGGTAAGTTATTGGCGGACAACATTTTTGTATTGTTTACCGTTGTTAGTCTCGTTATAATATAGACGTCTCTAACAATAAGTCATCTTCTCCGGGTTTCCTATTCGAGCCCACAATCAATCAGCTGTTCTGTGTTTAGTCCCAGTAACGTTAGCTACTAACCTATCGGTCTGTGTAGCAAAGGAGCTAGCAGTGACATCCGCTGCCATAAAACATTTGATAATAAACGATATCATTCTTCATTGTGTTTGACTTCGAGAGCATTTTCTCTGTTACAAGATTCAATTATTGTCCAAATTAATCGTCCTAACGATAAGAATTGACACTGACGGCTCTTGTGTAACTAAATGTCCACTGCCTATAGATAGCTAATGTATAGGTTTCCAGTCTTTGCTCCCCTGGAAGCAGCAGCAGTGATGGTCTCGAACAAAATAGCAGATCAGGCCACAGGCTTTCATTTAAGCTTTTTTGGTAACCGATATCCAGCGTTTATTTACTTAAGCTGAACATCCTTCTTTAAACACAACAGACCGGTTTAATTTCCTCCTCTTGTTCATAAATGCACTAAAAAAGACTACCTTAGTGTTCTTGAGAAGTGAGGAGGATATGGTCCTTTATATCCTATAGATACTTTTGAAGACATCTTTATTTATTAAAATGATAACCTAGTCATTCAATCTGTGAGGATGGTATATTTGGGACTACGTTTGATCAAAGGAGGCTCTATGACCTGCTGAGACAGGCGGGGGTAACTTTGAGTGTAGTACTGGTTGTTTGGTTTAAGGTACACGTTCATATAGTTTTTCATCTACACTTTTGGACTACTGGTGGATCAGTCCTTACTATAATGAACTGGATGTCCTTCCTCTGGCATAGGTGAACAGTAGATGTTGAATATTATTTACTGCACAGGCTGTGTGGGCTAATACTGGCTGCTAGCAATGATATAATTTATTGTGTGATGGGGGAAGTTGATAGTGGCAGAGGGAAGTGTATCTTCTTTGAGCTCTCCAACTGAGCTATGAATATAAATATGCAAAAAACATTCTCTAACAGGGCTTCACCAGCTGCTGTAATGTGTTCTCTTGTGGCCCTGTTGGAGGTTTTTGGCATCAGCGGTGGAGAACAGCTGATCACATTTTTGAGCTTAAAACCTAGTCATCTAAACAAATGTAGAGGTTATTCATTTGAGTTTTTCTCTGGTGGTGGACTGATTATTCTGTGACTGACGGCGCTCTAATCAACCAGGAGAGAAAATGGTCAGCTCTGACTGCTGGGACTTGGTAACAATTGAGTAAATGTTACACAGTATTAAGTGCAATGTTTCCGCTTACTCAGGAAACAGTGAGATAGGTACATATGATTGGTTAAATGTTTCATCATCAGTTTAATTTAATCACTAAGCATTTTGAATTTGCTGTCTAGGTTGGAATTGTGGTTTTCCTGCGATTGTATGACATGAAAGTCAACACGATCAGTCCAGTTGTAATAAATACAGTCTCTGTTAAATTTTTAGGCTAATTTGTAACATTTTTTCTTTTTCTTTTTTTGTTTTTGAGTAAATGATAAAATGCTAAACAGCACAACATGTAGAGTTACACCAGTAGCATTTATTGTCCCTTCTTGAATTAGTGTTGGGTTTTTCCAACCCATGTAGTGTGTTAAGGTCTCAGTCTAGAGCAGTTAAGCTGCAGCTGACTTAATAGTTTATTCATATTTAAATTTTACTTGAAAGGATAAAGTATGTGTTTGATTACTGGTTAACAAGCCCAGTTTCCTGTAGGGACAAACCTGTGTGCATAGTTTATATAGCGTTTTACCCAGACTTGTTGGTTTTTGACATTTTTCTTTGTGGAAAAAACGAATAAGATTTGGTGTCTGACGGCTGTTTAATCATGTTGCCCTCTGCAGTATAGCAGATGACTTTTTAATCTGTGAAATCAGAAATTATGCAGGGTGGACTGCAGGTCTAACAAAGTGCTTAGATTCAGATTCATAAATGCATTTATTTTTAAAACGCAACGTTTTAAACAGAGCAAAGTGGAAGTTAATGCATCAACTGTATCCAGTTTGCTTTCCACGTGATGCGTTGTTTCGACTGATAGTGAGCTCTGCCAGCTGCTTGCATAATCACTTTGTGGTTTTGTCTCTCCCTCCCTTCCTCTTTTCTCCTCCAATTGGCTGGTGGATAATGTGATGTAACATTGTTAATCAGCCAGAACAGAGAGTCACGCATTGTGCAGAGGTGTTTTTCCAAGTCTTACAGCACAAATTTGCACTTTAAGTGAATAATTGAATTGAACAAGTCAAACACATTTGGAGAAGTAAAATCTCCAGGAAGTAAACAAATTCTTAAAAGTCTTGAGAAAATGAAACTTTGACAGTTTAGGCAACTGGATTTCACAGTCATTCCCACATTAAGGCTCCCACACAGTGTGTGAAAACAGCGCGTTAATAATGCTGACAATGTGTGAGCAGCTTGGCTGAGCAGTGGATTGTGCGAGAGATCGGTTGTTGTTAGCAGGATTGAGGTCAGCTCTTGGAGTGAAGCCTTGTACTCTGTGTGCTGTGACTGGACGCAAATGTGGATTGTCAAATATTCGGGTACAAGTGGTAGAATAGCTTTTCCACTTTTGAGAGGCTGTCACGACAAAATGCCAGTTATGGACAGAGCACACAAGCGCTTAGTCAAGGTCTGAGTCATCTTGTATTTCCAAAGATCTTCCATTTGAATCTCTTCTTGCTGTGTTATCTGTTGGGTGATGTGCATGTTGAAACACGGTTCAAAAATCCGGATGTGGTCTGTATCATTGTCCAAACTCCTTGAACTGTAAAGGTTTTCCCCTCATCACAGCACCAGACGTCAATACTTGTTTGGTATCGCCTGAAAAGGAGCATTCAAGTACTGCCAATATCTAAAGTTTAAACTTGGGAGATGGACAGAAATGTTGGTCTTTCATTGGAGTTCTGTGGCCAATTACAGATTCTAACTTAGGCAAAGTTCTTTTATGTCTTTCTATTGTACAATTATTTTAATCAACAATTTAGAAATACGACTTATTGACTTTCTGTAGAGTTATTTAAAGTGAATGTATTTATACTTACTTTCAGCAAAATATTTTTCTGCTTTGAATTTACTAGAGTAGTCTACAAATTTGAGGTTTTAAAATAATGCTGTTGTTTTGGGGCCTTGGTGTAGGTCTAAATTTGCCAAAAATAAACAATTTTATACATTTCCTCTCTGACAGCAGCGTGGAGCCTGAGCTTTTGTTTCACAGTGACTGCTTGTAAATACACTTGCTTTATTAGTGGCATTTTTAATATAAGAATCCACCTTACAAATGCAAAGTAAATGCAAAGTACCTTCATAGCTAGCTCTGCCTGTTCGTATTAAACACTATCGTGGTAGCTTGAATGACCTGAATACCCTTCAGATCTGGAAGAGTTGCTGCTTCAGTACATACACTGCATATAAGTATCGGTTCTGTGACATCCCTATTCTGTATCATTGTACTCTGTATTTATGACTAATATTTTATAATTTTAGGGCGATTACCACACCCCTTCACCCAGAGGCACTGAACACTCATACGTAATCAGTGCAAAGTTGAAATGAAAAAACTTGAGTGAATTTGTGGGAAAATGTCACAAAATTACCCATATTGATAATGCTGTGATGATGCGTTGTATTGACGTAAATTTAACCATTGATGTATTTCTTTTACACCGCATTATTGATCACTATCAGTAAGAATAAAACCTGTTTTTCAAAATGTTCAGAGCTCCAAACTCTACCTCAGCCTGTTACTTAGCTACCTGAGACTTGTCTAACATTTTCCCAGCTTTTGATTTTTGAAAAGCTTCCAGTAGAGTATACCAAAAGGGATGGGTCTCCTTACACAAGGAAAAATAACAGTGAGGTTGATATAAGGCTGCCATAATAACAAAGAACCTAAGACGTGCTCAGAACTAATGCTGGCGGTGAGTCAGTCTTCAAACTGATGACGCGTTCCGTTGCTTCCCATCTGCCGTGTTATGGTGTCAACAGTAGCTATAATGACGCTGTCTCATCCAGCCCAGAAACTTTGGTATTGAGCAATCTTGAGTCTTTTTTTTTTTTTTTTTTTTCTTAACTGAGCGTAGAATATGTTAATGCAGCCTAAATTAAGCCTTAGTTCAATGGAGTCCTCGCACTGAAGACTTGAACCACTGCAGTCTTGGTCATCTTCTGTGTGAAATGCCAGCTTAGACCTGCTGCACTATGCTTCAGCATTATTGGGGATTGCTGGTCTGACTGGTTTTACTTGGATCGTGTTGCCTGTGCTGTCAGTTTCTCTGATTTACTCTCTGCCTGTTTGCCTCGATCATGGTAGTCTGTAATATATTTCTATATTTCTATTATGCTTATGGCAAAAATCAACTTTGATTCTATAAAGTGTGTTAATGCTGAGTTTTGTTTTTATTCCTATATAGTCATTACAGCACAGTTTTGTGCGCTGGTCTCTATGCAAATCTCGTCAAATATTTGCATATTTAGAGTCTCAGTAGCCTGCCTGTGTTTGTTTGTGAGCCAGTGTGGAGAGACATGTCAGAACACGTTTCACAAGCAGGACTGCACTTGATAGAAACATACAGTGTTTTTTTTTTTTTGTTTGTTTTTGTTTTTTGTTTTTTGGGGGGGTGTTCCACTGACAAACACATCTATGCCCCCAGCCTCGCCTTTAAGATCATGTGGTTGAGAGAAGGGGGTTGTGGGTGGGTGGCGGTGGGGGACTACATTCTCTAGGAAATGTGTCCAGGCAAATCACATTCCTATGATGCAAGAGAGCAGACACCACAGTCAAACACACGCTAGTTCTCCCCATAAAGAGGCTTTGAAGCCTTTTCGTTGTGACTGCTGATTGATTTATCGATCGATTGGCCGAGCACATACTGGATTAAATACTTATTTCGAGTTAAGTGTCTTTGTGTTGTACTGAAAGCTTTAATAGGGTAGAAACGCTAAGGGTGTGCTTTTAAAAACTTTTGCGTAACTATGCAACTGGATTTCTATAAATTTATATCAATCCACCAATGAATAATAAATTACTGCATGTTCAGGAACTACTTTGGCATTTCAAATAGGAGAACATTAATTCTGCAGGGAAATCCATAAAGAAATGTTTACTTAGATTGTTGTGGGTTCTCTGTGCCAGATAGATCTCATGTATTCTGCCTGGGATCCACATATTTGCATGCATATACATGTTGTATATTTGTATATTACATTCCATGCAATTGACCCTGTGCACGAGAAAATGCTAACTTCCTGGTTTGAAGGATCCAAAACTCGAAAACGGAAAGATCGCGTTAAGTTACAAAAAGCAGAAGGTGGGAACACTCACCACTGTTGTGTCATAAAAAATCCAATGATCAATTTTGACGTTTAAAGAGTTTAGATCGAGCAGTTGTTTACATCACTCAACACAAGCAGAACTGCATCACTGCAGCAGAAGACGCATTGTCCACATTCAGAAGCACATCTCTGTATAGTGACTGGTCTTATGATTTAAACAGGCAAATGTTCAGCATTCAAACTACAGGTGAAGAATAGTCAAACCAGATCTTTCCCCCGTTATGTCGATATCAGCTAGTCAAGTACACACCTACACAGCATGTTAACAAACTGTGAAAAAAGCCACACAAAAAAATTAATGATTGCTGGTAAGGGTTTCTATACATTAGTATTTACGAAGAGTATGTTGTGACTTACCTTAAAATTTACAGCGGTCCCTCGCTAATAACGCGGTTAACCTTTCACCTCACTGTTTCGCAGATTTTTTAGTGCAAGTTTGCATGCTTATTTTATTTTTATTTTTTTACGTCGCATTGTGTCCTGCGTCCTGATCGCTGCAGACGATCTCCTCCGTGACGTCTCTCCTGTACAGTACAGAATCGCTGCATCGATCGCTAGCAGTGTGACTCTGAAGTGCAGTACTGTATGTCCACGAAACGTTTTGCACCGTCAAAAAATAAAATTGGCTACTTGATTTCACCTATCGCTGGTTATTTTTAGAACGTAACACCCGCTATAAACGAGGGACAGCTGAGAAATATAACATTTGAATCCCTTTTTTCTTTTGCCCTGAGGCGCAGGGAAAAAATATCAACAAGTCGATGAACATCATTTACAGATATATTGAGTAAATGCCCAAGACATCTATAGAAATGTAAATCACCGCTTGATTAATTCATTTGCTTAACTTGTTTTGTACCGTAAACCGGGCGCGAATAGGACACCGGAAACAAAGCTCCCCACAGGAGTTTCCACACCGGAAGTAGCATATGCTAACGTGCACACAGTCAATTAAATCACATACATCAAGTTACAGCATTTCAGTCCACAGTGGGATATGTACCTGAAAAGTGTATGATGTTAATGCATTATCACAATGCATTATTGTTTACTGTGAACAGAAGTCAGTATCTGTTACACTAAAATACTGATACAATGGATTGTGTGTACATGAGGAACAGTTCTGAGAACTTACATTTAAAAAGAATCGGCCAGGAAAAAATGGGAGGAGCCAAATGCAGGTGGCAGTTTTAATGGAGCAGGGAGAATATGCTGTTATCTGAAAGAAATCATAATAAGATTTTCTCTGCTTGGTGAGAAAAAGTGACATTGATGATGCAACATTGGTTCTGCTTCTAGTTTTATAGGATATGTAAGAAAATGTATGCTAAGAGAGAAAAATATTTCTGAGTGCAGATGACCAAGTGATTTGGATAAACTTTAAAGTAACTGTCTCGAATGATTTGACAGTGGGTTTGGATTGCTAGCTTGGAGTAGAAGTCAAATTTAACTGCATAGATGAGGAGCAGCAGGTGCATCATGCATACTCATGCAGCTTTAAAAAACCCAAAATAAAAATGGAGTCCTCTTCACCCTGTTAGTGTTGTTCTTGTATTAAAAACTTTGATTAAACAGTTATGGTGTAAGTTGGAAGCCCCACCCATGATTGCTACTCGTTCCAGCCGAATGACATCATTTAGAGTTGTCTGATACACCATTGGTTGGCCTACATGATTGAACAGTTCCTTGTGTGAGATCCTGTATGTGTGAGAGTGTGTGTAATGGCAGTACATAACCTGGTGTCCAGTTGCTGTTTTCATGTGGAGGGAACTGGCTTCTATGGCTGTGATTGGGAAGAAATGAGTTTGTCAGTTTGAGAGCCATTTCCCAAAATGCTTGATTGTGTGAAACCGTATCTAAATGTAAGGATAGTTGTGAGGAATAAGAGCGTAGATGTATGAAAGAAGAGCACGGTACAAGTACATCCAGTACACAAAATTGGCTGGTGTGTCTTACACTTGGCTGGCTTTGCTGTGTTAATAACCACTGATATTTCCTTGTGTACCCAAGCAGGGCTTCCTAACTTCATCCACCAGCCAAGCGCTGGTTTATGTTTTTTCTGTGACATGTTGATAAAGCAAACTTTTAAATGACAACGCAGCACATTAACTGCTGCTTTTAAACTAGTGAATGACATTGATCTAATGGACTGTTACTTGTTTTCTTGATTTTCAGAGGCTTATGGCACAGCTGATGATGCAATATTGGTTTATCTGCTGATGCTGTAACTTGGTTTCTAAATTACTTGTCTGCTAGAACAGTCCAACTTTCTACTTTTTTCCCTTCCTCATTTTTCCCAATATCCACAAGACCTTACTATTGCTCCATATCAGGACCACTGCTCTTCTCTCTATATATTAAGAAAAATCAATTGCTCCTATTTTTATGCAAATGATATGCAGTATTTGCGTATCATCAGATCAGTATGTGTCATTTAAAACTCACACTGAAAGGCATTATTTAAGACTAAATCTTGTTTCTCAGTCCAAGTGAGGAAACTTGATCTCTAAAGGTTTTGTTTTTTTAACCTTTATTGGATTATGGCGATCTGCTCTTTGTAAATGCACCAGGCCTGGGCGCCAGTTTGAGCAGGCAGCCAGGCCTGTATGGCTGTATGTATGGCTGAGAGCAGGCGGCCCAGATTTGAGTCCGACCCGCGGCCCTTCCCCTTTCTCTCTCTCCCTCCACTTCACTGTCAGTAAAGCTGAAAATTGCAGCAGGCCAGACCTAAGGAAGTTGGATTCTGTCTGTCATTGTGCTTTTCATGTTATTGCTAGCTGTCCTGTCCTACATCATTCTGTCAATAATCGGTTATTTTGTACGATTCACGTGTTTGTATCCACTTGTCTGTAATGAATATCATTTGTATTTGTTTCTTGCTATATAATGTGTTGTATTGTTGTAACTCCTACTGCCCTATTGCCCAGGTCCATATTGGAAAAGCGACATAAATGAAGGACAATAAGATTATAATAAAAACGACATTCGTTATCTTCATCATTAAATTGTATAACCATGACAGAGTTGTGTTGGACTTTGACATGACAATAATACTCCCTTGATTGTGTTAACCCCTGCCGCAGTGCCCATTGTTCATATTATTGATTAGATACTGTTGGGTTTTATTAATTAAATATAGGTTCTGACTGAATGTGTAATGCATCTTCATGCAGCTAACCCCTCTGCTGTTTTGCCCAGGTACTGATATCTCTGTTGGAGAGGAGGTCGCCATCAAATTGGAATGTGTCAAGACCAAACACCCACAGCTCCACATAGAGAGCAAAATCTACAAGATGATGCAGGGTGGAGGTACTGTACACTATGACGCTCACTTTACACACATGCATCCATGCAGCTTTCATAAGTTCCTCATCATTTTAAAGTACTTGGATGGAGGCTGGTTTACACTTTTGTCATTATAAACCACAAAGAAAATGCCCCGTACTGGCTGTCTGGTAGACATTGGTAAAGGATGTGTTTGTTCATTCATTTTTTTCTGTTATTAAAGTGACCCTCCTGAACTGAACACCACCCAATAGCTGGGTGCTTAAAGCACACACCAAATGATTTTTCCCTTCCTTTTTCCTCCATTCCCTCTATTAATCACTTCTGACACCAGTTTTTTGTAAGCATAACATTAGCATTGTAATTGTCCATGAACTGTTTGGGCTATCTGACATTATGGAGTACAGTTACCGAGTGCTCCAGCGATACTCTGAGTCATTTGTTTACCATTGGCTCTCACATCATCAGCTGCTAGTGTCTCCTCCTGTACCTTGTTGTCAAATCACTTGTTGGATCGTCAGTTTTTCCTGTAATTTTTGCGCACGTCATACAGTTTCAACTCATCTGTCATAGCTGTTGTTTCACCACTTTGACTTTAAACAAGAAGTAGAGATTAGGATAAGATAAGACCTTAATTGATCCCACAACGGGGACATTTTTGCATTACCTCAGCTCAGGAACAGATATCAGAAGGAAAATACAAATAAAAAATAAGTAATATAATACACTATATACAACAGTAGCATACACAGTATGTGATTATGGATATGGTTGTGGAAATATGCAAGACATAAACTATATAGCTTAACATAACTATTCTACCACTACTATTCCTATGTATAGACATGTACACGCACACACATGTGCACACTAACGTTGAGTTTAAATCACATAAAAGATAAATACACGAGTGTTGAGCCATGCAAGAGAAAGAGTTATTTACTTCAGTAAAGCTGAAAAGCTCTTTACAGTTCAGTCCACGATTTATGAAGCTTGATGTGGAGACTGTTGGAAAAACACAAGTAACACCTTTTTTCTATCCTATTAGGTAACAGGTTACAACTACATTTTCATGGAAGCGGGCCGTCCTCAAAATGCACCACTGATACTAAAAAACATTCAAATTTGCACAGTATCGTGGCGCGATGAAAACATAAAGCTGTACTTATCTCCTGTTGGTGTTGAAGAAACAAAAAACAAAAGATTTGCATATAGTTTGTATTTAGGAGAAATTCCTGTTTGGGGAAAAATATTTACTGTTTAATGTCGATAGACACCGTGAAAGTTTAAACCAAAGTGATCATTCAGTCTAGCTAACTGGCTGATAGTCCGACTACTAGCATAGCTTAAAGAACACCTTGTGCCACTGCAAAGGTACCAAGAGCAAAGGAAAAGAACATCTGACTCTGAAACATGCTCACACGCTTCCAACGTGAAAGAAGCAAGAAAGGACTTGCTGCTTTGAGTCAGTAAGCATGGGTAAAGTTTGTTTAATTGTTCTGCCAGCTCAGTAGTGTCTGCAACATCATACCTGGGGTAGACTTGTTTGCATGTTTGTATTTCTGTACCTCATACTGTATATTACTACACTATTACTGTGTGGCATGAAATGTACATTTTGAAATGTATTTTTCTTTGGTGACTTATTGATTCATGTCGTCTATACTACTGGCGTCTGCCTTTAAAACAGTAAACTTTAGAAGTCAGCAGTTTGTCCGTATGCACAGCTATGTCCCCACATGCATTTGTATTTTAGTTCCAGCATAGTTGGATTTATTAGGGCACAGTAGCCGACTCAGACTGTGAGATGTATTTGTGTTTGTATGTATATAAATAGCTTATGCTGTGTGTGTGTTGCTGAGCACCAGCATTTTGTTGCCGCTTGCCTGTAGAAGGAAATGCCAGATGGCCTTTTCGCCTTGACAGGGTCACCGGCTCCTACGAAACCAGCTGGCCTCTGTGTATGAGGGCAGGAGTCGAGCCATTTTTATTATTTGGAGTTGTATAAGTTTGTTTCAGGAAGTTTTTTTTTTTTTTTCTAAATAATGCATGCAGAGTAAATGTGTTATGCATTTCCTGTTTACATATACACAGTGTGACTTGCTTACTTGGAAAAACCCCTTCATGACAGAAATCAGAAAAGTGTGTATGTGCGCTGCACTAATTGTGTTTGCTCAAAAACCTCAAAACACACAAGCTTGTCTGTAATACGATCCACAGAAAAGGGAAATGACATTGCACAAGTTCATAGTGTGAAGACCTGACATCATTGCTAAACACTGCCATCAGCAGTGACGGTTGATCAGACTCACATACGTCTGTAGACTTCTGCAGATTTAACCCTGAAACGTGTTCACCAGTGCACATGTTTAAAACACCAAAAATAAAAACGGAGTAGAAATACTGTTATGCATACACACAAGGAGGGAAATCTACTTTGTTCAGGAGAAAGTTTGTCATTTTAATCCCTTAACACAAAAATGGGATTGAAATGACAAACTTTCTAAGTGAATGCCAATTAATCAAAAATGGTTTACCCATGGTCCCCCTCTGCAAACAACCCAACATCAAACCGCATGCTTGCATCACAGATTGACGCATTATGGCAGACAGTTTTTGAAACCAAAAACGACAATAATTTTAGTTTTAGTTTACCAAAGGTTTGTTGTTCTGTTTTTTTCTGATCACTGCCCCATATAGCATATTGACAAACATGTAATTATGAGCATAATGTGTTAATATATGTGCAACCATGAGACTTGCTGTTGGGTTGCTTTAACAGAAGACGTGATTGTGGAGGAGTCACAGCTGTCAGTACTAAACACGCTTGACCTTTGGCTTCCTTATACAGGCCTGTAAAGTCCTATATTTGACTTTTAGGATTCTGATTTGAGGATTTGCACATTCCAGCCTTAATAGTGGCTGCAGTTTCATCAAGTTATTACAGTTTAGTGTCAGCTTGTTGTTCTCACTGAAGTGCCAACATGAACAAAATGGCACCAAACCAAACTATAAATGTAACCCTTGTGTTCCCTACATTTCTTGCAGTGGGTATTCCAACGATAAAATGGTGTGGCGCTGAGGGTGACTACAATGTGATGGTGATGGAGCTGCTGGGTCCCAGTCTGGAAGACTTGTTCAACTTTTGCTCTCGCAAGTTCAGCCTCAAGACAGTCCTGCTGCTGGCTGACCAGATGGTGAGTTCCCAAAAGGAAAAAAGGGAATAAAATGAGGAATGCTGGTCCTACACTTGATGTTAAAGATGCATCACAAATGTACAGTAGTGCAGGACAGTTTAATCTCTTCACTGATTTCAAATATCTACTTTGGTTAAGCTCCTGGAATGACCCCTTGTGTTCATTTTTAACCACCGTTTTTCCTTCCAGATCAGCCGAATTGAGTACATCCACTCCAAGAACTTCATCCACAGAGACGTAAAGCCAGACAACTTCCTGATGGGCCTGGGCAAGAAGGGAAATCTCGTCTACATCATCGACTTTGGCCTGGCCAAGAAATATCGTGACGCACGCACGCACCAACACATCCCCTACCGCGAGAACAAGAACCTGACAGGCACCGCCCGCTACGCCTCCATTAACACACATCTGGGCATTGGTAAGACCGACCCCCACAAACTGATGATTAATAACTCTGATTCGTCCAGATCCCGACTGACCTAGCCCTCTCTCTGCATTTACAGAGCAGTCCAGGCGGGATGACTTGGAGTCACTGGGATACGTCCTTATGTACTTCAACCTGGGGTCTCTGCCTTGGCAAGGCCTTAAAGCTGCCACTAAGAGGCAGAAGTATGAACGCATCAGCGAGAAAAAAATGTCGACACCCATTGAGGTCCTCTGCAAAGGCTACCCGTGTAGGTTCTAGTGCTCTTATGTACCTATGAATAAAGGCACCACATCAGTGTTAGCCAACACTAATGTTTTAAACACCTCTTTGTCCCCAAAGCCGAGTTTGCCACCTACCTGAACTTCTGCCGGTCTCTGCGGTTCGACGATAAGCCCGACTACTCATACTTGCGCCAGCTCTTCAGGAACCTCTTCCACAGGCAGGGATTCTCCTACGACTACGTCTTTGACTGGAACATGCTGAAATTTGTAAGTTATAGCTTCACATCTAAGAAGACTTTCTTTGTGCTTTTCACTACTGTCTTACTTTAATTATATAAGTGCTTTCGTTAGAAGGTTGTGCCAAAAACAAACAGTGTTTCTTAGGAATTTCATTGGCAAGCAGAATATGAGTCAAACTTGAGAAGAACTGGGTGATGTGTACTTTCTGTTTACAACTGGAACATCAGCATTCTCAGTGACATAAACGCAGCTATAAACATGTTGTGTAACATAATGTTAAGTTGACCTTCCACTGTTAAATGGCCTTGTGTATTCTGCCTAGATGCATTTTCATGCAGCATGTTTGTTATTTTGTTTATGTTTTTTTAAGTGTGCAGCTGTCTTAAAGGTTAATAACCTCAGCTGTCTTGTGTGTCAGGGTGCCAATAGGGCCGTGGAGGATGCAGAGCGGGAGCGTCGGGAACGGGATGAGAGAATGAGGCACAGCAGGAACCCCGGGGCCAGAGGTATGGCCTCGGCCTCAGGAAGAGCCAGAGCCCCTCAGGAAGTTGCAGCCCCCTCCCCGCTCAACCCCGCCTCACACACAGGTGAGCAAAAAATATAATGTTTTGTTTTTCCTTCTCTTTAAACAGTTGCTGAAATATTCAGCCTACCCTTGTACCTTTTTCTTTGTCTTTCAGGTATGGAGAAGGAGAGGAAGGTGAGCATGCGCCTTCATCGGGGAGCCCCTGTCAACATTTCCTCGTCAGACCTGACAGGACGCCAGGAAACATCCCGCATGTCCTCACAGGTAACACAAACTGCGTTACAAATATCATGTTGAAAATCCACAGCAGACAGCTGTTTGCAGCCACATTTCTTAAGGCTGTGGCATATCTCAAGTGACTGAGTAGCAGGGTACAAGCTGTGCAGGTTGGCAGACCATAAAACATTGTTGTTAGGAACAATCGGTTTACTGGGAGGACTTTATGATTGCGTGTCAGTTAATAAGAAGAACTTGAATCATTTGTGCTCAGTTGCCCAACAAATCCTGAAAACAGGAAGCGTCTAGCATAAGAGAACATAGTGTTTGTGCAGACACCACATGCATACATGTTCTCCTTTTCCCTCTGTTCAAACTGAACAGTATCTGTACTGATTCATTTCCACTGACACAGTCCTTCCCAGTTTGTAAAATAAGCATAAAAGCACTCATGGAGCAAAGGAGGTCATTGTTTAAAGGCTTCATTAAGTCCTTTGTTCTCTTCTTTGCGTGGACCTCCACGCCCCCCAGAGGGCAAAGTGGAGAACTGCTGAACAAATGAAAAGAATCGGTCTCCTCCAGTCACTTTGACGTTTTTGTTTCTTTTTTCTTAATAGAGTGTTTAAAAAGTGAAACATTTCTGTGTATTATCCCACACAGAGACATGGGATAAGACATTGCATGTCAGTTTCATACTAGTTACATTTATCCATGAATAAAATGAACCATAATTAACTTGTTTCTATAGCTTTATGGAGCATTCGTTTAATGTTGTGGCAGTATGATGAAGAGAAAATTCAAATATAGAACACAAAGTCTGGGAAAATAGGAAAGTTAAATGCAACTTTTGTTTATTCAGAACAAAAACAAAGAAGTGTTTCCAAGGACAACCAATGGAGGCCGGTGATTTGTCCTTAGGTAGGCATCCAGCTCATTTATGCTTCTGGCTGGCTCCTGATTGGTCAGTTTGTACCTGCTGCACTGGCTTCTTCAGCATATATACAAGAGTGTATATTCACAGGGAAACACAGCCAAAGTAGTACATAAACTTCAGTGTGAATTATACTTCAGTGGGAAAGCTGCATCGCAACTTATGAAGTAACTTCTCTTTTGGCTCTCAGCGAAGGTGGTCGCACTTTTCTCCTCTCCTGCCCTTATCTTCCTTGCTTAGCTTCTTGTGTCCTTGTCTAGTCTCGTGTTTTTACTTACTTTCCCTGGAACACTCTCTCACAGTCTGTTCTCTAAAACCTAAAAGAGGAATTATGGATTTGATCAACTGGTCCCTGAATGCAATTGACACCCTTTTCTCAACGAGAAGTCTGGGCTCAGGTGAGCCTGAGTGCTGAAGATATCTATCTATTCGGAACCATGGTAACAGAGTTCTTGCTGATCGGAGCTGGCTTGGCCCTGACTTATCGAAGAATTAAGGAAGCGGAACCAGCTGTTCAAACCCCCACAAGGCTGCCCGCTGGGATTGAAACGATGGGACGAGGCAGGAGTTTCTCAAAATGGTCTCATTGAGTGCAGCACGGATAAGATCTTGGAGAACGCACAGCTGCCGTGAATACTCAGAAAAAGACCTCTGAGTGGAAAAACTGGATTACATCTGGAGGAGCTAGCTCGAACAACACCTTTGAGCGCAAATTGGATCAAATCTTGGGGAAGTGCACTGCGATCGTGAGTTCTCAGAATCTGCTCTTTGGGCAAAAAGAACGACAACTTCACGGAACGTAAGTTTGGATAACATCATAGAAAGCTCGCGGCTCTCCAACGGGAGATTGTGAGACCAGTGTTGGACTGTTAGAACAGCTTTGAAATTCATATGAGTTGTTCGCACTAAAGTAAAAACCACCATCACTTCATGCGGAGACCCCATCGGCGCCAGCTGCGGTCTCAAGGCTGGAGCCTAACAACAACACCCTGATAACGACTGTGTTTAGTCTGTTCCTCCCATTCCATGCAAGGTCACCTGGGTTGGCGGGAAGACTGTTTACTTAGCCTGGCAGGGCGAAGGACACTGTCTCAGCTGAACTCTGGACACACACACACATACACTGATATGCACACACTGATCCCCCCTCCCTTTCCAAACGCCTTCGATGCTTGTCCCCTCCCGGGGAAGATGGCGGTCGACTGGACCAGCGCAGACATGCTGCAGGACCGGATGCGCTGTCTACACCGGCTCTCTCTCACCCTTTACCCGCCCCTGTTGCTTGTCTTGTGTTTCTATGGTGTATTGATAGTCATGTGCTTTTTGTGCTGAGGTGTCTTTTCTGTTATCAAACTGTTCTCCCACTAGGAGCTCAGTCTGAGTGGAGTTTTTTTTTCTCCTCCTCTTACCTCATGTTATGTATTTTTGTTGTTTTTTTCCTATCAGCCTACCTGTCTGACATGTCTCCCCAATGTGATGTTTGTGTAAAGTTGGTCAGAAGGTTCCTTTGTAAGTGCGCATGCGCCATTAGCGTGCTGCCTGCTGTAACCCTAATTTCCTAAACGGTGCAAACACAGTTTAGATTCAGCTCTGCACACAGAAGCGTCATCAGTGCTCGTCTATTTTGCAGTGACGATCATATTCATTTCCAAGGGTGCAAATATGCAACCATGGTCTGCATGGGTGGATGTAGCCAACAGGCTGTCACCTGTTTGCTTCGGGGCTGCAAAGTTCAGGACTGTACTGTTGTGTTGTGGCTGCAGCCATCTTGTTTTATTTGTTTTTGGAGTCAGGTTTGTCTGTGGGTGAGAGTGGTTATCAGCTAATACAGCCAAGCTTGTTTAGCAGGCTGGGCTGAAACTGGACTTTTGTAATCCACAGACACAGATATCTGCTAATTGGTGCCGAGTAATGAATCAAATCTTTCGTTGTAATTCAGTGAAACTAAAGTACACTTTTTGGAAAATTTTGTGAAAGTGAGGCTTAGCTATGTGTTACAGCTCCTCCTTTTGTTAATGAAGGCAGTCACGTCCACGTGTTTGTATCAGCCTGTAAAAATTTTCACTTTTAAATATAACGTTAGCCTTTTTAACACAGGAGTGTTATGGCTCACTGTTGGAGAGGATCTGCCGTGTGGGCACTTCTTGCCGTCTTTATTTTTTTTAGCCTCTGAGGTTGCTCCTTGCCTACATCAAACTATGATGGGGCTTTTAATATTAACTGAATCTTATTAGTATTAACATATTGGATATTTGGTAAAATAAAAAAAATAAAAATGGGCTATTTCAGTGTTCATTCTAGCCCAAGGTTTTAAGCAGAACTCTAGTATGCAGTGTTTGCGCTAAGCTAGGCTGCTGGCTGTAGCATCATAGTAACCATGCAGTAACTGTAACTTCCAGTGATGTGCTCCCTGCTCAAACTGTGACGTTATTTTTCTTTCAGGCTCTGTCCCGGGTCACACCAAGCGGCCTCCAGTCAGCAGCCCCTCGGTGAAACCCTCTCATCCAGCTGTGCACCATGGAGGCCTCAACATGCAACACCTGCA